GGTCGAACAGCTACATCTTGGGACGACTCACCCTCCATGGTCTTCCTCTTCTTTGACCTCGTCCTCTTTGGATCCATTAATCTGCTAACAAGTCAATCCATATCTAAACCTAGATCTAAAAAACAAGGAAAAGAGGATTAGTACTAAAAGCAACTCAAAGAAGAGAAAGCGAGAGAAAAGTGACAAAAACTTAGTTCTAACTACCTCTGTGTCCTTGGCTCAGGCTAGCTCGCAAGAGAGTGTCTTCAACCAAGTAGTCATCTATTTTCAACCCGAGATGTGCGAGCTCCCGCAATTGATTTTTTGCCTTCGAGGATAAGAACTAGCCCTCAAGGTCAGTGAGAGTTGTGCCCCACTAGTTAATGAATTGCCAAGGGCCATCATGGGCAACAAAGAAGTATTTCGACTTCTAGTCTGAAACCATGCTGGGAAGACCTTCAAGGAACTTCTTAACGGATTTAAAGGTGAAGTAGAAAAACTTCTCGTCCCCAAGAGTGCGCTTGATAGCACACAAAGCAATGAAAGCTTAGATGTCGATGGGGATGCCATGAGCGTGACAAGCCGAGATGAAACTAATGAATATCCTAATGGCATTTGGGGTTAGCTGCCCCAAAGTGATGAGGAAAACACACACATCGGTGACTATACAAGGTAAGGGGGACCTTAACCCTACAATGAAGTGCTATTCGAACACACAGACTTCATTGTCACTGTGGTGACAAGTAGTGGTGGCCACGAGCTGAGCCTTTCATGAGCTATTCGAGCTCAGGTCATGAAAAGCTTGGCTCGACTCGGTTTCAACCGAGCTCGAGCCCGATATATAGGCTCATTTGCTAATCGAGCCGAACTTGAGCCCAATGAAGCTCAGCTCGTGAGGCTCATGAGACTAGGATTAAATAAATAATTTGTATTATATACAGACATACATACATACACCCTTTCAAGCTCCCCCAAGCGATGCGATTGGCAAGAGGTCTCCTCTTGGAGGTCGGAATTGCTTGTATGTATGAGTTGAATTGAGAAGTCCAATGTGGTTTTACATGTCACCGAGGTGACTCTTATCCTTCGAGATGACGGCAAGATGACGAGTTCCGAGCTAAAGGCAAGGTTGCAACTCTACCTAAACGTGCCACGTGTTTGGAAGATCAGAGGTTGGATTTGCTCTCATCAACATCAATCAAAGTTGATTTCCTTGATCCTCTAGCACCAAGAACAACTAGGATTTCTCCACCCCTAGCTTTTCTTGAGATATCATTCAACAAAATCTTTGTGATAGTGAACATACTAGGCTCGTTATCGATAGGTTTCATTGTAGTTTCGTTCCTATTGGTTCAGCAAAAACACATTGAGTCCTTAACAATCGTGTTCGTCACCGTTGGTTGGAGAGAGAGAGAGAGAGTGTGTGTGTGTGTGTGAATATCACTACCATCAATAGGTTATAGTCAGGTTTGATGAAATACTATTTTTTTTGGGATGCAAAAAAGACGAATTACTTGTGTTTTGCCACCAGTCACTAGTGGTGCCATTTGTCGCCACTAGCTAGAGAGGGAGAGAGTGAGCAGGGATTCGGTGGGTTTAATCTTGGAGAGATAGAAGTGGTAAGTGGGAAGGGAAATGAATAAAAAAATCGATTTTGGGGGTGTTCTGTAGTGTGGATGAGAAATTGGTGAGTGTGGACTGGTCAACCCCACACCCTATGGCAAGGACCAATCCACACCACACCATAGTCCACAGTTGTTTTAAACTGTGGACAAACTGTGTGGACTGGTCCAGTGCACACTCACAATGGTGTTCTATTTTTTGATTCCATGAACCTCATGTACATTTTATGAATGATCTACACCAACATTTTAAAAAATGATCTGGAAACGAAACCGTTTTGGCCATCGATTTCCTGGTCGACGGTCCGATCGTCCAATTCAAACGGATAACCCATTCTAACAAACAAATTAAAAAATAAAAAAAATAATTAAAAATAAAAAACGATAAAAAACCATTGAACGGGTTGATAGTTTGACCGCTCGGGTCAATGGGTTGTTGACTTTTTCAACTGTTTTTATGCAAAAATCGGGTTTGGGGTAAAATGGAACCGCTTGCCTAGACGGTTCCCGGGCTGAACGGTATGACCGTCTAGGTCAATGGCTGTTCGAAAACCTTGATCTACATAGTTAATTATAAATATCTAATTTTTTCATTTTATATGATAAATATATTGAAAAATGTAGCAATGAGTTAAACCAATAAATATTAATTTTTTTTATAAAAACAATAGTAAAATAATTAAAATTTTTAAAAATATATTTAAATACTTAAAATATAATTTTATTGATAAAACATTAAAATTTAAAAAAATAAAAAATTAAGTAAAATAATTAATATTTTATGAACAAAAATATTAAAATGTAAAATAGACAATAGGATAGCCTTTCGGTAAAAGTGTAAAGTAGGGGATCAAAAATCAAGTGTGGACGATCCCCAACCATGAGATTTTATCGTAGATGAGAAATTGGGATGTGGACAGGACCAGTCCATGCTATATTGGGATGTGGACAGGACTGGTCCGGTCCATCTAGTCGAACGCGACCAAATCCCATGGAGGGGACCAAAACAGTCCTGTCCACGAGATTTAAGTGGCTCCGAACACCACCTTCATTTGAGAGAATGAGTGACTCGAGCTAAACCTCTCACAGGTTTAGCAGAAACATGCGTATATGTAGGGTTGTTCACAAGAAGGCCCAACCCGACCAAACCAACTTAGTTCCTACTTAACTAAAAACTGAAATATTTGAAAATATATATTCCAATATATTTGTATATATATTTTTGTTTATATATATATATATATATATATATTCTAAAATACATATTTCAGTTTTAAATATATTTCCAAAAAACTAGGTGGCCATGGGGGGCATGGATGAACTTAGAGCCAAAATCACCCAAACTGACCCAACCCGACTCAAACCAAACAGGTCGGTTTTGCTTAATACTGTGGTTGGAAACCTCTCTTGGTTTTCTTGTAGACCTAGCAATTGGATTGGGCCAGCCCGGGTTGGGATTTCAAGTCAGACCAAGTTTCAAGAAGGGAAACCTATATAAGGTTTGTAAATATTTTCCTATCTTTCCCTTCCTTTCCCTACTTTTTCCTTCAAACCAAACACAGCCTAAATATTTATGATAGGGTTGATACATGAGTCAAAGAAATCAATGGTTCAACCAGTTTTTGAACAAGTCTACAATTTTCAATGAAAAATACAGGTTTAACCATCTAATTCAATTCAAATGGTTCGAACTTCAAACAATTCAGTTGTTCGAATCAACACCAGTTTAAAAACGTTGGTGCAAAAGTAGGTGATCAACTATTACTTGTGCCCCAATCCAACTTGACCCAGTTAGATCAAGGTTTAAAATTTTGCAATCCATCGTAGTCGATACGTTGCAAATTTATTACTTTAATTAATTACTCTCCCTCTCATTAATTACTCTTTCATTAGTCATTAATCTTCTTTTTATTGCTAATTCTTCGAATTAATTTCTTTCCCTCTTTCTCATTAATTACTATAATTACATTAATTACTCCTCTCTCTCATTAATTACTCCCTCCTTTGAATTTGAATTTTGAAATTGAGACTCCATTAATTACTCCTCTCTCTCATTAATTACTCCATTCTACCTAATGCACATAATCTTATCTTTAAAAGCTAAAGTAGGCGGTAGGCCATAAGAAGATTCAAATCTTGATCACACGTTTATAATGCCCATGAGTCTATCACCACACCCAAATCAATTTTGGTGTTCCAATGTCATCTATTTTCATCTTTAAATAAATTTTTTTTTTATTTGGGTGCTTATAAGTCACTAAGTCAGGTCACGCTCAAGTCTTTTATATATATAATATTTTATATTAAATAATATACATATAAATTACATGAGAGATTGGCCGAGACGATCACCCCTAGATGTTTGTTAATAAATGTTAAAATTGGTTATTAAAACTTATATATTAATAAATATTTTAATTTTCTATCATTTTTCAATAGTTACCAATTATATCTCGATCTCCCATATTTCATGTAAACTATTAAAATAAAGTTTTTATATTTAAATAACTTATTTATGATCAATATACCTTATATTTTATTGTTATTATTATATTTTTTAAAATTTATTTAAATTTTATAACATATTCATAGATATATATATATATATATCTTAATTTTTCGCCCATATCTATGAATATCCAAAGCGTAGATACATTTCAGGTTGGGTGGAGCCTGATTTGCAAGTTGGTCATCTCCCGACGAGGGAGGAGAGGATCCTCCATTTATCCAATTATATCATGCCAATTCAATTTTTAGTGGATAAATAAATGAAAATTCTATGATGCTGATAAAATATGGTACGAGAAGATTTTTAGCCGATCAAAATTAAGCCATGATTTTTGATAAATGCTATCTGACAAGTTTTGGTTAGTAAGTTTTTAATACCGGTGGATTAGTCACAAATTTTTCTCAAATATCATGTCACCCAGTCATCACTCGACCACGTCGACATAGCTTGGCCACGTCGACATAGCTTGACTGAGCAATGTTACTACCGTGGTCCCCTATCTTATCCCTCCAACCATGTCAGCTACACGCCACGCGAATAAGTCCAACTACGGATAAGGGTGGAAAGATATCTCTGCCGAGGAGTAAGACTCTACTCCAGTGACCTCGGCAAAGGGCTCTATCCCGATTATCCCGAAACCCTAATTCAACAAGGAGACGGACCCTCAACTACAAAAATGTACTCTATGCTCAAGGTAAGGGATCCCAATTTCTAGCACCCATACTATTACTTTGCTCGAACGAACACCTTCATTGCTCGGCCCAGCTATTCACCGCCCTCTTACTAACTTGAGCGTCGGAGTGTTTACCTGAGAACAACTCCTCGGACCTCTTAACTTTTCTTGATCATAGATTACATAGCGCGGCACTTAAGCTTAGCACCGCCCAATCAATAAGAATTATCTCATTACTCTCCTCAGTATTGAATAGCATCACTCACAAACATTACAACATTACAGAACTAATATATTAAATGGACTATAGAGTTTGAACCGATACCTTGAAAATATGTGGTAGCATTCACAATACAGGGTTTTCCTCGCAATATTATTAATAGCGATTTTCTAAAACTTAAAGAAAAAGAAAAGCCAAGAAAACAAACCCATCCATCCAGTCATCCGGTCATCGTCTAGTCCAATTTTTTCCTAAGTGTTTATTCATTAAGGCCTTACGGGACCAAAATGATTAAGCATCGGCGATCTCGGTGGAGTCGGCTGAGGCAAGTATCAACTCCGGGTGGATGCTTCCCTTCTCGCTGTATGTGCCGTCAATGGCGTTAGGCAGTCCCAACGACTTCAACGCCAGGTGAGCTGCTTTCTGCCCCGATATCATCATTGCTCCGAAGGTGGGACCCTGTCATATGGTAGGTAATTACACCATTCAATGTACGGACCATGATCAATATACGTTCGTTAACAACTCGAGTAAGGATGGATCCAATGTCCATTTTTGTAATACTAAAATAGTAAAAAGCGCCAGATAACTTGTCGATCTGGGTGGAAGTAAGGTGGTCTCAACAGGCCCAATCTTCAAACTTGGGCCTAGAGTTTCACCCATCCTGCCTGAGCAATTACTTTCAAGTTGGGCTTGGGCTTTGGCCGGGTCAGGTTCAACAGGTGGATAATTAATTTCTAATAAATTTTGATATAAAGGCATGTGTATACATTGTTAGGCCAAAATTGAGTTAGGAAACAACAAACTTTTGAGCCCAGCCAACCCAAGGATAGAAAATTCAAACCCTGCCTCTGTGTTTGCAGGCTGGCTTGATCCAACAAGGGTTGAGTCGCAGCTCGCTCAAGTTGACGATAGACGATCCAGTCCAAATTTAAAATAGATGCCTTCCGTTTTTAATATTCATGAGTCTAGTCATCCAGACTGCAAAGTGTCAAGTCATTTAATTTAATACCAGAGTTTGGCCCTTTCGAGGAAGGAAACATGAGCCTTGGGCTTGGGCCAATGGACCTTTAGACCAACCCCGGCCTTCTGAACCCAGGCACCATTACCATAGCCAATAGGTCTGGACGGACAGCGGAGTACCACCGTGGCCGTTACGACTTATCGCTAGCTTTATTTTAATGTTTTGTCGTTTTGTAATTGAAGGGACACATGACTCGTGACGAGACGGCCAGGAGGCCCACAGCTCGTGATCTAGCAACCTTTGCTGCTGTTGCATCACTTTGCATGCGGACAAACCTCCGTCCGTTACGCCGTTTCGGTTACGGTCTCACGGAATACGTTACAAACCGGTCAAGCACAAAGACGCCGGTTTCTGAGAGCAGAAGAAACCTGAAACCTCAGTGGAGTTTTCTGCCACACGTAAACCTCAGGGGAGGTTTCTGCTGCTATCAGAAATTCCAGGGTGGTTTCAGCGATTTACCCCCTTCCAAACCCAAAATTGGTGGAGGGTCAACACCGAATCGAACTGAGAACAAGATTCAAGAAAGGAGAAGATTTTACCATTCTGGGGGCTCCATCGATCTCCGCAACTTCCATTCCAGTAACGATCATCCCTGGAACAATCTCCCTCGTGAGTCTAACGATCGCGTCCTCCGCAACGTTCATGTCCAGGGCTTTCATCCCAGGCACGCTTTCGATCAAGCCAATGCTCTTGAGCCGCTTCACTCCGGTGGCACCGAACGGTCCGTCGTGACCACAAGAGCTCACCACGACCTTCGACTCCATCACATTTGGGTCCATGCAGGACTGTGTGTCGTGGTTCATCGACACCAACGCCCAGTTGGTCACCACACCCGCCACCTTCCCTTCCTTGACAATCAAGTCCTCGACAGCCACCGCGTTAAACAATTTCACGTTGGGTCGAGCCAAAAGCTTGCTCATGATCGTCGACGTGAACAGCGCAGCGTGCTTAATGACAACATAGTTCTCCTGCTCGTCGTACTCGATGCCGAGCTCGTCGAGGAACAATTGTGCAGGTTTACGTACGACCATGGCAGAGAAGAGCTGGCCACCCAGCCAGGAACCTCCACCGGGGCTGACGGATTGTTCGATAATGGCTACCCGGACAGATGGGTTCTTGCTGAGCTCGTAAGCACAAGAAAGCCCGGCTGATCCGGCACCGACGATAACGACATCTGTATCTGCGTAGGTAATCATGTCCATCATGTAGCGACGGGTCATCTCGCGAGAGACGATGGACTCCCGGATGGGTTCGAACTTGAAGGACTGTAGATCGTATGGAGGGGTTGAGGACATGGAGATGGAGAGGCTTTGTGGGGAAGAACGGATGGGCTGGAGACGAGTTGGAAGAGGCACGCCATGGATTGAGGATCGGTTATCTACGAAAACCATCTTAGGCTTCGAAGAAAGGGAGGAGGTGAGGGGAGTTGCCATGGTTGCCATCAAAGACGAGCGATAGATTACAGAAGTGCTGCTTCCTAGGGCGGTTGAGAAGAGATGAAGCGATGAGATGAGGAGGAGAGTGAGATGAGGTGGCTATTTATATTGGTGAGAGGGTAGGAAAATGCAAAATATCTGTATCTTAATGGAGGACACGTGTAAGTAAGATAGGATTTGAACGGTCTAGAATGTTGGGACGTTCGCTTATCAACTGGAGGAGAAATTTAGGGTGTATCGTCAATAGACCTGTTCATGGACCGAGTAGCCCGATGGCCCGGTCCGGTCCGGCCCGCATTCCGGTCGAGCTTGGTCATATAATTAAGCCCGCGGGTCTGACCTCGGGTCTAACACAGTAAGTCCGATTGTGTTTTGGGTCGGGTTTGGGATTTGTCAAAAAAGCCTGGCCCGACTCAGTATTATATATTTTATAAAATATATAATATGTATTTTATATATTATATAAAAATATATAAATAATATAATATTTATTAAAATATATATTTATAATTTAATATATACATTTTTTATTCTTTTCTTTATAATCTCTCTCTATATTCAACCGCTAACAGTATAGACTAAATTTCAGACTCGGGCCCAGGCCTGGGTTTCGGGCTTTTTATGAGACTCGAACTCGGGCCCAAATTATAGGCCCGATGGTCAGGCCGGGCTCGGGCTCGGCCCTAATCGTCAAGGTCACTTTTTCTGTATACCGTCTTGTCTCTCTTTTCTCGGCTTCTTCTGATCAATTGGATCCTTTTTATCTTTTGTCACCTCACTGAGAGAGACCCCTGCTCTTTATATAAAAGAAAGAAAAAAAAAAATATCTTGGGGTCAAGTAGGTGAATAGGTCTAGAATGCCGGGATTCTTGTTCGTCGGATCTGAGCTCTAGAGAAGATCGTAGACTTCGACAGCGGAGAATGAGTCTTTTCTATACGACCACCCTGTCCAGCCGTGCAGAGAAATGCATGGCCAGGCCAGTACAGCAGCCTGAATTGGCCACGTAATCAATTCCTGCAGAGGTAAAGTGAGCTCCATTTTGTCAAGTAAGTGACACCCGTAATTAAAAATTTAAAATACTGAATTTTCATTAATTAAAACATGAGCAGAAGAAAAGGGTTTAATTTGCTTTGCCATAGTACAAGTTAAATGGTACTACGTACAGAAGAATGGAATCCCTTGGGAGTGTCGGGGCCCACGGTACTCCTAATTGGAGAGACCACAGCCCACTGGATAGTTTGTCTTACGTTAACAGTAGTTACCAGCGTCCAGCTGAACCGACTCGTCGGTCCCCTCTAGTTTAACAAATATTTTAACAATATTTTTACACAGTTGCAAGTAGTTGATGTGGGTTAGCTTGGCCCAGCCCATCGCGGGCTGGGAGGCCCATCCCACTAACGTCTGACAGCGTTAGCCACAGCAGGAGGGAGCCCTGCTGCTTTTGTATGGAGCCAATCGTATGACGGTTAGATGTATCCATCAAGGCCTGCCGTCTGACCTCGTACAGCTCTCATCCAGGGCATTCATCTTCACCTACCTCTAGCACATTCAAGTATAAATAAGAGGTAACTCCCCTCAAAGGGGACCCTTGAACAGAAAATTTTAACACAACTTATTCATTTACTTCCTCCACCTACCTTGCTTCCTTAGCATTTACTCTAAGAGATCTGGTGCATCCGAGGACTATTGCTAAGGCCTTGCATGCACCCTCTCCCGCTTTACACCTCATATTAACTTGAGCATCGGAGTCTCTGCTTCAGGTACCCACCCGAGGCCTCTGACATTCCCTGTCTTGCAGTACCTCTAGTCACAAGGGACCTCGCCTCGATCTACAGTCCTTGGCTACCGCGGTCCTCAGAAGGGATACCTCTAGATACCTCACCTCGGCATACAATCCTCGACTTCAGCTCACCTCTTCCAAGGCCCCAAAGTCCTCAGCCAACATTCGAAACCTGGAAAGTGAATTTACCTCGTTTCCCCCTGCCAATCCGTGCGGCAACAATCGGCGTCGTCTGTGGGAAGGTTTGCTAAGATGACCCCCACTTTAGGATATATAAAAAAAAACAAAGAAAAAACAACATACTCTAAATCCAAACCCTCTTACGCTTGAAACCCATGGTAAGGAGAACCAGGAACAATCAGAACCTGGTCACCTATGAATAGTTTCAGGTTGTCCTCAATTGTTTGGACTGCCTTACTCAACGAATGGAAGAAGTTTGCCCCCGAGTAGGAGGTCCCTCTCGAAGTGACCACCCCACTAGGGTGTTAGAGGATCAGGGCCGACATCCTATGAATAGTTTCAGGTTGTCCTCAATTGTTTGGACTGCCTTACTCAATGAATGGAAGAAGTTTGCCCCCGAGTAGGAGGTCCCTCTCGAGGTGACCACCCCACTGGGGTGTTAGAGGATCAGGGCCGACATGAGCATGTCGAGCCACTAGCCCTCGACCATGGTAACTCGCCGGCCGAGCCATCAAAATCGGGCAACAACTGTCCCCCGGATTCACCACGAAGGAACATCTATCCTCCTAGCCGAAGGGAAAATGTGCCCGCTCAATCCGAAGATATTCATCAACCTTTAGAGCAACACCACCACTATTGGAGGGAGGTCCCCTGGGATGATGATGGGCACCTCGGCTGCCCTAGAGTTCGCTCTCGAGGCGATAGTCGATGCCACGCCACTCCCCTTCCCGCCTCGGATCTCCGGGATGTTCTGAATGATCATCGAACCCGTAAAGGAGCACACAACCCTGTCTTGGAGTATTCGGGAGTCTGAGACGATCCCCACCAAGTTCGCGAGGACAAAGGCTCCCACACTAGAAACGTACGACGGGAGAACCGACCCCGATGACCACCTAGAGGGTTTAAGGGCACTCATGATACTCTACAGGTATTCCAACACCTTAACGTGCCAGACCTTTCAAGCCACCTTCAGGGGGGGGCCGCTCGCCGTTGGTTCTCCAGCCTCCCTCCTCGATCAATCAGCTCGTGGGAGCAATTTACAACCTTGTTCCTCACCCACTTCATCAGCAACAAATGTTGCCAGAAGAGCATAGTCTCTTTGATGTCGCTCAAATAGGAGCCAGGGTTAAAGTTTGCAATTTTATATCGACCGCTTTAAGAAGGAAGAGCTCGAGGTCTGGAACCTCGACCCTATGGTTTCCTTGCACGCAGCCATTAATGGACTCCACCCCGGCTCGGCCCTCAAGTGCTCAGTCGCCAAGACCCCACCGAAGATTAAACTCAAATTCCTCAAGAAGGCCCAAAAATACATCACGACCAAAGAGGCTTTGGCCGGGGACAACCAAGAAAGGGTAGTCGACCGCCACAACGGCCCCCCAGAGAAGAAGAGGAAAGGCGGGGATCAGCACCACCCGGGTAACGATGGCGGCAAAGGCAACAAGAACCATCGGCTCCGGGCATGACACCGAGGACTACTACGAACTAAAGAACGAAATAGAGTCCCTTATTCATTGCGGGCACCTCAAGTAGTTCGTCGGAGGAGAGGTCGGCACCTCATCCTCCCAGCAGTAGCACCATCAACAAGTGGCAGGCGTCATCGACGTCATTGCTGGGGGCATGGCCTCGGGTGCAGCCTCGGCCTTGGCTCGAAAAGCCTACGTCAGGCAGCTTAACATCCAAGAGCCTACCCCGAAGAAGTAGAAGTACACGGACGCTCCGCAAAGGCCAAGATGCCCACATGCCCTCATCTTCACCAACAAGGACTTAGAGGGGGTCACAGTCCCCCATGATGATGCCCTCGTGGTCGCAACCATCATCTCTAATTTTATGGTGAAGAAGATCTTGGTGGATAGTGGCTCATCAGCTGATATCCTTTTTCACGACACCAATGAGAGAATGAAGCTCGTGCCAGAGCGGCTCCAGCCTGTCGACGTTACCCTCGTCGGCTTCTCCAGAAACGTCGTCAGGCCAGAAGGAAGAATCACTCTACCCATTACGGTAGGGACAACACCACACCAGGTGACCTAGATGCATGAGTTCCTGGTGGTGAAGGTTGTCTCTCCCTACAACGCAATAATGGGGAGGCCAACCCTTCATGCACTAGGAGCAACCATGTCCTTCTATCACCTGGCCCTCAAGTTTCCTACCGAGCATGGCATCGGAGTTGTTCGTGGGAACCACCACATCGCCTGCCAATGCTACATGGTGGCGCTAAAAGGAAAGAATAAGGAGGCCCTGTCACTGGAAGGCCTCGACCTCCGGGAGGAGCCAATGAGCCAAGGCTAGCCAGCCGAGGACCTCGTCTCGGTTCTCCTAGATGAGTCAACCCCAGAGAAGAAAGTCTGCGTCTGGTCCAACCTTCCCCTTGAACACCTATCCGAACTGGTAAGTTTCCTCAGAACTAACGCTGACGTATTTGCTTGGTCCACCGCTAACATGCCCGGATTTGACCCCTCGATCATTACTCACAGGCTATGTGGACCCGAGCTCTAGGCCAGTCCGGCAAAAGAAGATGAACTTTGCACCGGAACGATGAAAGGCCATAAGAGAGGAAGTTCATAAGCTACTCGACGCCGGCTTCATCCATGATGTACATTACGCTGACCGGTTGTCTAACATGGTTTTGGTAAGCAAAGCTAATGGGAAATAGTGGATCTATATTGACTCCACGGACCTTAACCGAACCTACCCGAAGGACAATTTTCCTTTGCCGATGATAGGCCACCTCGTCGACGCCACTGCAGGGTATGAACTACTCAACTTCATGGATGCCTTCTCCGAGTACAACCATATCCAGATGCAACCTGACGACGAGGAGAAGACCTCGTTCATCACTGAGCACGGCACGTACTGCTACAAGGTAATGCCATTTGGCCTTAAGAATGCAGGGGCCACCTACCAGCACCTTGTCAACAAGGTTTTCAAGAATCAGATGGGGAGAAATGTCGAAGCCTACGTGGATGACATGGTGGTGAAGAGCCTGAAGGCCGAAGCACACACCTCGGACTTGGCCAAGACCTTTGATACTCTGTGCAAGTTCAACATGAAGCTCAGCCCGAGCAAGTGTGCCTTCGGAGTTACCTTGGGAAAGTTCCTAGGCTTCGTTGTCACTCAAAGAGGCATTGAAGCGA